AAAATAAAAAAAAAAAAAAAAAAAAAACTCCCCCCACCACCAAACAAAATCCATAAAAGACCAAACTTTTCAACACCCAGAAGAGAGTTCAAGCAATTACATGAAGAGAAACTTATAAGATACGATAACTTAATAGAAAGCATAGCGACGAACCAGTGGGCAAAGAATTCAACGACGGCGAAAGTAGCAGGGGTGTCCTTGAGAACAGCGTCGAAATTCGTTGCGTTCAGCTCGACGGCATAATCGGGGTGATCACCGCCGCTTTTGGCGTTGTCGTTGACCTCCCGAAGGATCGAACGACGCGAAGCGAAGGAAGAAGACGAAGTCGCAGAGCGACAGAGAGAGAGCATGCAGAGAAACAGACCCAAATGTAAATACATCCCAGACATGAGAAACTGGGCGGATCAAAGGGGATAGAGGATTAGGGTTTTGAGAAGTATTGGCGAAAATTGAAGAAAGGCGAGATTTTAGAAGGTGGGGTGGAGAGAGAAATGGATCTGTTACACTTTTTTGATGTTGTTGTTGTTGTTGTTTGTTGTGTGTGTGTGTGAGAGAGGTTTAGTGATAGCAGAGTGGGATTGGATTTGATGGGTTGTTGAGAAGGGAAAGGTGAACCAGAAAAGGGTGAGAATTACGTTTGCTTTGCTTCGGATCGGAGATGGCGGAAGGAAGTACTTCCCTTCTGCACACCAAACCTTTTGAATCACTCCCTGTTCCTTTGTCACCTATGTTATCTGTCAACAAACATCAAATGTCTTCAGAAAAATTGTAAATTATTTATTACTAATTAATGATATAAAATTATTCTTTCAAATAGAGGTGAAGTCAAAATTATTAATTGATTTAAAATAATTTTATTTCAGCTAATATACCATCCCCTCATAAAGTATAAAAATTTTAGGATGTACACATAAACTTTTTACTTATTCAAAATTTTGACATTAAAAATGCTTGATTCTTAATATAAAAATAAATTTTTAATATAATAAAAATACTATATTATTTTAACTTTTTAATTTAAATTAATAAAAATTATGATTTTCATGTAATATTTGAAAATATTTTCATAAATATTTATGGCTGATCAAATAAGTTTTCGTGATTATTAGAATTTACAATTGTTATAAATCATAATAAAAAAATTTAGTGTATCCCAAACACTCCTTTAATATCATAAATGTTTGATATTATATCAAAAATTATTTTTTAATTATTAATAAAATTTATTTTTATTTCTTAAAATCAGTCTAATAATAACATAAATATATTTTTATCATTTTGTTATTATATTATAATGGTAAAAATTCACTTTTTAAAAATAAAAAATGAACCAATGAAGAGTTTCTTATATTATTGGAACTTATTTATAGATATAAATAGTAAAAAATTAATTGTAAGAACTAAAAAGTAAAATTTATAAAATATTAAACTTACTACTAATTTATTTTAAAATATTAAAATTTAATTTTATAGTAAACATGAAAAATCCTAATTAAAATAGAAAAAATTGAAAATATTTTCTTTAAAAATATATAAATATTCACTCATTATTTCAATTAGATTGGCATAAAATGTAGCATGGGAGTGGTAAAATTTTCGTTATTGAAATTTATTTATTTGAATCTTATTTAATTTCATTTCATAAGATTTGACTTTTAATTATTTGGATCTTTTGCAATTCTTAAAAGCTTAGGCTAGTGGCAAGTCAAGTTTTAAAATATAGCTAAAACACGAACTCTTACTTTGATACCGACTAAATAAAAAAGAAAGATTTATTATCCTATTTCTTTTAAACTTATAATTTGAATTTATTTTATTTGTATATATAGTCAAATAAAATTTGGTATTCACAATTTGGCGAGGGGCTTTTTATATTCTACCATGATGGACTTATTGAGAATGTGGTACATGCCAATCTTATGTTTTCATCTCCTTGAATTTATAAATTTAATATTTTTAGAAGATTAAGTTCTTTATTTGGCTTATTTATCATTTCCGGCCAAGCGAAATAGTCTTGGCTTATTTAATGCCATGGAAATTTGGTTCCATTTTAGGGTTTATTTTAAACCATATTTTCCATTGTCAACTTGTGCTGGGAAATGGGTTTTCTTTTTGCAACAATCATGCCCAAAAAAAAGTCCATTTGTGTTTCGGCCTATGTAATCCAATGGATTGGGCTTGGGTTGCCCCTCAACAAGAGGCCCATTTACTGCTATTTCTCTCACCTAACATACCTACCATGACCAACGGCCACCAGGCTCAATCTCATCCACATTCCACATCTCAAAGTCAAATCTCAAATCAAAAAATCGAATATTCGAATTTCACCGCTTCGAAACCCTCTCATTATCACCAAAATTTTCAAACCCTAACATCCCAATTTCGCAGGTGAGCTTTCCGAAGCATCATCAACTTTCTCTGGTACTTAAGTTTCTCTCCCTTCTTCTCATTCCTCTTCAGATTTATTTCATTTTGACATTCTTTGACTTCCTAATTTTGACTTTGATCTCTCGTATGGGTTTTTCTTACGGCTTTTTGTGACGCTCTATTTTATGTATCGCTAATGCTTGGACGTCATGAATTGTTTCCAAGTGTTCGTAATTTCCGATTGCGTAAACCTTGCAGGGAGAGCCGCTTCGACGGGAAACAAGGGTTTTCGCTGCAAATCCAATCGGTCAAATTGGAATCGTCGGAACAATTCGTCATGAAGTTCCTGGAGTGCGCTGCTTTAGATCGGTATTTGTAACCTCAAACGAGTTTGAATTAAGTTATGGGATTTCGTTGCGTAATTTTGGTACGTAATAGTCCAGTAAAATCATTTTCAGGCTTAACGATTTCTTGGGTAATTTGAATCTGGGAGAACGTACTGTCAAAGGATGCCTTGAAGCTTATAGTTGTAAGGATGAACGAGTGAATTTTTTAGCATTATTTTTCGGATTTGGTTAGGGTAGTAATTAACAAATTCTAGCGGTTTTTTCCCCCAATAGGCAAACATGCTGGAACGGATAAAAAACTCTCCATCAGTTTGGAGACAGAGGTAGATTGATTCCTAATATATTGCATATCTCACTTCACTGTGGATTTTGATATATAAGCTGTTATGTGCATGTTAAAAGTTGAATTAAGGATATAATTAATTAATTTATAATGTTTTAAACTTTGTTTATATTTTTTTGTATGTGCCTTCTTAGTTAAGTGTAAGTCTTGTTCTCGCATTCGATAATTGCCAGAAAACATCACAAGCATCAGTTGAAATGGAAAAATTGATTGATGTGGAAGCTATGATTTGATAGATTTTTTTTATACATGATTTTTCTATAGATATATCTTAGGTTTAATTATCTTTTTAGTCCTTATAGTTTTCATAAACTTTACTTTTTAATTCCTATAGTTAAAAATGTTCTATTTTAGCCCCTATACTTGGCTTTTTTTGTATCGTTTTTAGTCTGTCGTCCATTGTTATTGTTGTTGGAACTAAAAAGATAAAGTTTATGAAACTGTAAGGACTAAAAGAAAACAGAAACGGCATGTATAAGAACTAAAATGAAATATTTTATTTTTTAATTATAGGAACTAATAGGTAAAGTTTATGAAACTATAGGGATTAAAAGGGTAATTAAACTTGTATCTTATTCTTATCTTATAGAAGTAATAGAAATGTAAATCTATCTTCTTCTTTTTTGCATTTGAAAAAAGGGGATGTTTAAAATTAAAATGACTGGATGTTGGAACTTGGAATAAGCTGTTCAATTGAATATTTATTTTTGGAAATTTCTCAATTTCAGATTCTTGATTATCTTGGGAAATCATCTGACACTGATTCGTCATCACCGGATCAAAACATATTAACCAGAACCAGGTGGCCTTTACTATCTAGATAGGTTCAGGAAAGTGAAAATCAGCACTGAAGTTTCTTTTAAATGTTTTCATTTTATTTATGTTCTTTCATTCCAGCCGAAGGACATTGGTTTACTTGGTTCTTACCCTATATCACATGTATCCCGATTATGACTTCAGGTACCTCCGTATCTTATGATGTATCATAGATGCTTCTCTATTATATATACTATAGGATAAAAAGGAGGGTTATGGGTAATGCTACTGTCAGCTTTGTTGGCGACATGGCAACCCGCTATATAATCCTTTTTTTATTGTATTGGGAGTGTTGTCAGAAGGCTTGACAGACAGTCAGAAAACTGTTGCTCTAGAAGCTGAGAGTTCAAGTCTCTCCATTTCCCAAGTTTTTTTTGGTCATTTAAGTGTTTAAACTTTAAATTGTTCTGCTTTAATATTATGCATTCCCCACCTCATAATACCATACACCTATAATGGTTTTTAGTGCAGTTAAAGCTCACCAGTTTTTCGCAGAGGAATCATGGGACAGTTTTAAACAGATATTTGATACCTACATGCTTGAAGCTTCAAAGGTGCTACTATTAATATTATTGTCTGTCTTGTTTTAAGAATTCTTTTTATTATTTGCATTGCCCCTTAGGTGTTTGATATACATTAAAATCTTATAGGCATCTTGCATGTTTTGGCGTAAGATTTATTGGTTATATAGTTTGTTGGTATTTACTATTTTGCCTGTGTTTGCTTTCACGTTTGAAACGTAAAAGCAAACACGCACTTACTGTTTGGTTTTTAACTGTGCCAAATGACATCTAAAGATTCATATTGCTGACCACCTAGTGGGATAAGGCTTTGTTGGCATTATTCCAAGGCATGAATGCATGATAAATGACCTTGTTTGGTTGGAGCTAATATTCTTATGCACAATTTCTGAAGTTTCTTGCAGGGTTTAGATAGTAAAGCAGAAAAAAGAGAGAAAAGACTTTGAATAATAATAATATAATATTTAATATTATGTATATAATGTGAAACAAAATACAAACACTAAACCCTATTCATATTAATTTTGTAATGTGAATTTAAATTCCTAAGTAAATTAAATTAGGAAATCACTCGCAAGAGACCATCTAACATACTCATAACATTCTAAGATGCAATAATGATATTGTGACATTTCTAAAATATTGTAAAACTTCCGTAGCTAAAGCTTATGGACCTAAATATTCTAAAATTTACCCATTGAAGCCTAAAAAATAATTTCCATTAATTGTCTCAACTTTCAAGAATTCTTTTATTCTTTGTGTTGTCTCTTAGGTGTTTGATATACTGAAATCTTATAGGCTTCTTTCATGTTTAGGCATAGGATGCTTGGGTATATAATTTGTGGGTATTTAGTATTTAAGATCCATATTTGGTATGACATCATAGATTGACAAACATATTTGACGACCTTGTTTTATTGCACGACATAATAGTCTTTTGCAACTCTGAATATCTAAAAATACTAGTATGGTTTTAGGTAGGAAAAGACTTTGAATAATATGATATTTTGTATTTAATTTAATACAAAGTACTAAGTTCCTAACACTATCTATATCAATATTGGACTCTTAATATTAATTTTATAATTGAATAAGGAAACAAATATAATGAAACATGGAAACCACTTCTAAGAAATCATCAAAGTTTACAATAACGATATTATGAGATATTTTTTAAATATTCTACAAATTCTCCTTTAGCTATAGTTTACTAAGATTTAAGCTTGTTACAATTTACACTTAAAAGAAAATAATATAAAGATGTGAACTGATCTCCACAAAACATGACTGGAAAGGCAACTCTGGGATGCTAGAGATGTTAGAGATAGGTATTGCTGGAAAGATAACTTGGTAACTTGGAAGATAACTGGAGTGATTGTTAGCCGGAAGAATTGGTTGAAATGTTGCATGGCAAAGGAAGAAGAGACGTTGTTGGAATGATTATAGCAGAAATTTCCTGGCAATCAATTATACACAAGAATTAAATCTTCCCCCAAGATCATCAATTGAAAGAGTGGGAATAATCATCTACAAGAATAGAAGCCACTGTGAGCTATGATGCATCAGTGGGAAAGAAAGAATGAGATGACAAGCACAAGCAGCCAAACAATTCAAACCACACAATGGCTACCAAAATGAAACCCAATAGAGTATATTGGCAACAGAACATGACAAAGTGCAAATGCACAAACTATACAATAGATCACTACCACAGAATGGTAAGAAACTGCTGAAGCCAACTGAAAACGACTCAAACCTGATCAAGGTAGGAAGTACACACTAGACCTAAGTGTTTAACATGGCAAAACACTGTCCATGGCAGCCAAGCAGTCACCTGAATGTAGCACATAGCATCAAGAGGGGTTGGACCTGACTGGAGACAAGTAGGAGATGATTGAAGGCAGTAGTGGCTGCCGCAAAATGAACAGAAAATAAAACGATGGTTTTAAGGTGAATGTGCAGAATTGGGCATTTGTTGCATCCTTCCTCTGGCTGCTGTGAAACTTTGGCAACTAGCTGAGTTCAGGACAATAAATACCATGGTGAGTTTGATGATGAGAGATGGACCACCTGAGTGCAGATCAGAGGTATTTTGGAAGGAGAGAAAAAGAGGTGAGCATAAAGTTTAGGTAGGGAACGTGAAAATAGAAAATAAAGACTTTTAACAGTATGATTCTAAGTAGAGCATAAAGTTGATGTGATAAGCATAGAGCACTTATCCTTATTCATATTACTACTGGACTGGATTCCTAATCTTAAACAAATTAGGGAACAGATGGTGAAATATGAAACCAATTTTAAAAGATCATCTTTAGGAGAATTTCAAACCAATTTTGAAATGTAATCTTTAGGAGAATTTCTAACTTACTTTCAAAGTAAATACTCTGGACAGCTTTTGTGAATTGTAACCATCCACATTTAATTTTATAATAATTTATTATTTTTAAATCCAACATCTTATTTGGCTGTGCTGTTCTTAACTTAGTGGTTTACTACTCTCACATACTAGAAGTAGAACTTCTCTCCATCATTAGGCATCTAAAGATTTTGACGGATTGAAATATGCATCTCTCATTCTATCTGTCTCTTTTATTGGGGTAAAAATTATTACATGTTGTTTCTTTGTAATAAGATTAATTTTCCTGCAGTGATTTTCTTAACTCAGGTTTTGGTTGACTTGTCTATGCAGGAATGGGCTGAAACTGTAGGTGGTGCTTGTTTGCTGGGCACCTTGTTCAAGGCCCTTGATGAGGTATGCTTTATTTAAAAAGTGAATAGAAATGATATCAAGAGGCACTTCTGTGATACCTTGTGATGTAGGTGGTGAAGTTAGTGGACTGTGAAATTTACAGTTATGTCCCTGATTCCGAGGCAGATCCATTACTGGATAGAGGAGCAATGTAAAGTTATCTTTGCCACATGCCTAAAGATTAAAACTTGTTATTACCATCATTTTCCCTATTATAGGTTGTTTCCAATAACTATCTTTTTTGATTTGCCACAGATGGTCCTTTAATTTCTTGTTTTATAATAGAAAGCTTAAGCGGATTGTGACTTTTCAATTCAGTTGTTTTAGGTGAGTTGCAAGTTTCATAATATCTATTTCTTGAACTACTTTTTGGTTGCATCTATTCATCCTTAGCACAATGTTCTTTGTGGCAGTAACTTGATTACTGACGGATTGCTTGTTGATGAGATGCACAATGAGTATGATGAAGAAATATTTGCTGACATGGATATATGAGTCACTTCTACCTCTATCAGTTAGCTTATCAAGACTGATCCTCCCATGTGTAGTTCTGTAATATAAGATGGTTTCAGATGTGTAGTTCTGTAAATTGAAGACTGTTTCTGCGCGGCCTGAGTCGTAGATATAGTATTCGGATCTTCCCGAATGCATATAGTAGTTTTGACTTCTGTATCTTACGCGGTTGCACATTGTAGATTTGGAAACTGCATCTTTCGGTGTGCATATGACTGTTAGGACACACCTCTGGTGTAATATTAGCGAAAAATACTTATTTGGAATTGGAGCAATGGGTAATGGATTTTAGGTTATATTCCTCTGAAATGGATGCTTATTTTCCTCCATAATTTGTTATGGATTGGTTTTACTGCCTGAGCGATTTAGCTATGGACCCTAACAAACGCTCATTGCCCAATATTCACTTATTTACATTAATATATTTTCTACTATCAAATTTTTTAGGGCAATCAGAGATTATACTCGTCCTTAGATTATCAATACCGTAGAGCTTGTGTTTTCATGCGATATTTGTATACCACTTGCAAAGGGAGGTCGGGGAGGAAACATATATTAGATGGGAGTTTATCGCTTTTTTTTTCTCTTATTTTTATTGGGTTAAAATCGAAATGTATATAAATTGTGGGAATTTTGACTTTTCGAGTTTTTTTTCTTGTATGAATAATGCCAAACAAAATGATGACACGATGAGTAGGCAAAAAAAATATAGTATGTACAGGATTGCTGTCCCTATAAGTCTCCTATACGGATTAAGATTTTGAAGGAAAATATAATGCCAAGTACCATTTCGATATAGTCGGGTGAGAAATACAATAGCCAGGACTAGAAATTAGCATTCTCATCACTTCGTCATCCAAATCTTGCTAAATTATCTGTTTTAGTAACTGACATTTTATAAAACTAATATTCATCAAAATAAATATGCTGTTTCATATTTTGTAAATGACTCATGATATAAACACTTATATTTTTTAAATAAGTATACCTCTTACTTTTCTTAAAATAAATAATTTTTTAAAGTATTTTTAATCTTTTTTATTCTCTAATTTTAAAATTTTACGTTTTTAATGTTCAATTTAACACTTTTTCATTCTTTTTCACATGTTTTCTTCCCTCTTATTTTTAGTTTCCAATTAAATACTTTATGAAACTAATGTTCTAAAAAATACTTTTCAGAAGTATATTACGAAAATTATTATCTAAAACATTAATTTTATTATTCTAAAAAATACTTTTTAAAATAGTAAACAGTATTTTAGAAAATACATTTCAGAAGTACGTAAAAAATATAATTTTGAAAAATATTTTTCAAAACATTAATTTTTCTATTTCGAAAAGTACTTTTCAAAATATTAAAATTAATTTTTCAAGAAAGTATTTTCCAAAATATTGAATTTAATGTTGGGGTTTCTAAAAGTGTGAATGGAAAAAAAATATTTGAAGAGAAAACATGCATATGACTCGACACCGTTGTTATTGTCAAGAAAGTCACATGTATTTATAACGTTATTGTACACCAACTTTATTGGAGTGCGTGTGAAAAATAAATTTTTTTTTGAAATAATTAAAATTATCTACTGAAATAAGTGAAGAGTAAGAGAAAGGAAAGGGGATGTATGTGAAACCTAAAAGAGATGGAAAATCAGGTATTTAGAAGAAAAAAAATAAAGTATTAAATTGAATGTTGGAGGTAAAAAATAAAAAATAATATATATTTTATAATTTTTTTTAGAAAAAAAAAAGGAAAGAAAAAAAGAGGTGTGCTTATTTGAAGAAAAAAAGTATATATGATGAGCCTATGTCAATTTAGTATTGGTTTACTGGTTTAGTAACATTAATTGATAATTGATGAAAAAAGGGTCCATTAGTGGTTGGTATACGTGTCCATTAATCTAATTACCTTAAGTGGAGGGGGAAAAGGCAAAGAATATTTAACAAGCATATATTTTCTGTCACCTTTTAAATAATCATTTGAAAATACCAAGGGTACTTTTTTCCTTATTTTCCTTTTGCCTTTTTCTTCTGTTTTAATGATTTAAGTCCCTACCACTTTGATTCATTAAAGGATAAGATAGTAAGATACGATTGAGAATATGGGAAGGAATCTGTTGGAGATGGACATTGTTTGGGTGTTCTTGTGTTGTGCCAACTAATCAGACTTAAACTTAATCTTATAGGAGGATTGTGCATTGCTCTAAATGGTTAGTGTAATAATTTTTTTTTCCAATTTTATGGAAAAATTTGATGTCATGGCCTACCCTTTTTGCCACGACTGCTGGCAACGATTACATGGTCGCCAGCTAGGCTACTTAAATAGCATCCAGTAAGGGTTATCTAAACAAGTGGTATCAAAATTATGTAAACAAATAAAAGTGGGTCATTTGGATGATAAGTTTATAGATATCAATTATAAATGTGTGTTTAGATAAAATGTATTTTTAATTAATTATACTATATTTATGAGAAGAAAAAAAACAACAATAAACCATGAGCATATTTGGGACAAGTGCAATTGAGTTGTTTTGTAGAAAATAAGTTGATGGAAAATTAATCAGCGTGTTTCGAATAACTACCGAAATTTGTTAAAGAAAATTTTTTGTCAAAAAATTATTATATTTATATGATTAATAATTATCATAACTATGTGGACTTTATTTACTTTGTACCCGATAATTAATTTGGACACGTTTCACAAAACAGAGAAGTAGCAACTCAAATCGATTGGATTCGTATTTGATACTAAATTTATTGCGTTATTTAGATGCAATAATTAAATAAATAACATATGCAAGCTGGTTGTTGGTTTGTGTCCGCGTGTATCTTCTTCATTGTATGAGTGTAAGTAGAGTTAATATGACATTTGTGGACTAAAATTAACCAAGTTATTTTATAAAATGTTCACTTTTACTAATGTACCACCATGATGTTCTTTTTGAGTTGCATTCATGAGCTTTGCTTTCGATTTTGCCATGTTGGCACAAATTAATTATGGCAAATCAGGCTTCATATATGAAAATAAAATTATGTTGTGAAATTTGGTGGAATGTATATAATTTGCGCACACTAATTTATAATGACACATTCATACATGTTTTACTTTAATAAAATTTTTACATTATAATTAACAAACCTTTTTTTTAAAAAGCTATAATCATCAACCTTATTCTACATGATTTACATAACTTTTGAAATTTAAAAAACAAACTCTTTTGTACTTCTATAACAGACTACCAAATTTTATTTGTTTATTTGAGATCAAATTTTTTAAATTCATCCATACAAAAAAAGTTATTTTCTTGACTTTTTAGCTACAATAAATTTAAAAAAAAAACTATTTAAAATAATATTTTTAAAAATTATTTACTAAAATAAATTATTTTAGTCACCAACACATTAGATGTCTCTAATTGTGTGAAGAAGTTGTCGTCACAATGTATAATGACTTAAAAGACTGTCATAAGTGTTAACAATTTCTGTTGGATAGATAAATATTGGACAAACTAAAAATAAAGGTTAATTTTTTTTTGTCTATATAATTTTATTTATTTTATCTTTTAATATTTATAATTTAAAATAAATATTTTTAATCCTTATATTAATTTTTTTTAATTATTTTTAGTTCTTATAACTTAATATAGATCTTTTTATTTCATATAATTATAGTGTTTTTAATCTTTATAGTTTTTATCGTTTTTTTTTGTAATGTTGTTTGATTTGTCTTAACATTATAATTAATATTTATTTTTATAATTTTTTTTTCTAATGTTCCTATAATTACAAAATAAATCCAACATCAAACATACAAAATTGAATAATATTGAATTAATATCTCTTTTACATTCATTAAGGATAAGTATTAAAAGAATTAAAAGAATACAAGTATATGGACTAAAAACATTTATCTTAAATTATTAAGACTAAAAAATATTGAAACAAATAAATATAGAGACTAAAAATCATATTTTAAATTATAAAGACTAAAATGTAAAATAAATGAAACTATAAAAACTAAAGATTTTTAACAAAAAAGGAATAATTAACAACAAAATTTAGCAAAAAAAAAAACTAAACTAAACTGATTTATAAAATATATACACACGTAATAAATAACCAAATTTTTTTTATGAGAATACTATAATAATTATAAATTATATTTAAAACAGTGAAGGAAAAAATAATTTTTTTTCAATTTTATAAATTATATATGCACATTTATAGAATTTTAGCATAAAGCAAAATTAAACTAATTTATAATATAAATAAATAATTTTAAATATATAAATTATATTTTAGATTTATGATAAATAATTTATTTTGTAATATTAAATTCTTTTTAATTATTAATAATTTATTTTAAAATATTAATATTTAATTCATAAATAATTATATATAAAAAAATGAATTAGATAAAAAATTGAAAGAATTTCTACAAATCCTTACATTTAAAAAAAAACTTTTAAAAACAGTTTTGCGCAATATAATAATTTATATTTAATATATATGAGTTAGATATGTTAATATTACATTGTTTTAGTCAAGCATGAATGGAAAAATGTTTTTATTATATTTTTATAATTATAATAGTATTTTGTTAATTTATTTTGTTAAATCGTCCTACATTGAGTTGATAAATATTTTATATAATTAAATTGGGGATGATGTTAAAAAAATTGAAAACAAATTATTATTTCCTTTGCTATTGAATTTTATTGTTTAAATATATTTTTTTTTAGGTTCGTTCCTGGAGTATCCACCGCCGACAGCAGTGACTAATCTCCTCGCTACGTTGGAGGCACCTCAAAGGGTGGGATAGCTAGCCCCAAGATTTAACGCGGCTGCATACACAAAGCAGGATTCGAACCCCTGACTTTGCTTAAGCGTGAATCAACCCCTACCGCTGAACCACACGCTTGGGGTTATTTAAATATATTATAATTAGTGTAATATATTATAATTATTATATTTTCATAATATAATATATTTTTATAATTATTATAGTATTTTCATAATTTTTTCAGTTATTTATTGACTTATAATATTTTATATTTACTTGATTAAAATAATCTTTGTAAAGATTAATGTTTTTTTTCTTCTTATAATTAGTGTAATTATGTGTGTACATTTTATAAATGTGTGTGCATATATTTTATAAATCAATTATTTTTTAAAGTTTTTGTTTAATTATTTTTAGTATGTCTAATCAAGTCATACTTATAAGCATATGTCAATTCAACGAATGTTATCAATATTTGTAACAGTTTTTAAAGTTGTTAGTACTTGTGACAATTTTTGAAGTCATTCTTGTGATGACTTCTTCATGCCACTAGAGATGTCACATACGTTGGTGGCAAGTTTCTTAACTGTATCATTATGATTAAAATAATTTGTTTTGATAAGTTTTTAAAATGAATTATTTTTTAAAATGAATTATTTTAGCAATTAAATACTATTTTTTTCTTTTAAATTATTGAGGTCTAAATACATATTTTCTTGTTTAAATGTTTTTTTTTTATGTATTTGTTGGTTTAAAGAAGTTGTGGTAGTTGCAAAGATAATAATAAAATATAACAATAAAGTAATGATAATAATGATGATAATTATCAAGAGTAACAATTGTTATGATTTTGACATTAATCATGAGAATAATAATCGTGACAATGATAATAATTATCAATATATGATGATAGAAGCAACTATAATATAGGTAATTCTCATAATATTTAGCGATAATTTTGATAATAATATGTAACAATATTAAAGATAGAGATTGATTGACAATATTGGTAACAAAAATGACAATGATGAATTATGAAGGTAGTAACTAATGATGGAGATAACGAGAATGACAATAATAATTGTAGTGATAACAATAATAAGTTCATTTGCTCAATATTTTCTTTAAAAAATATTTATATATTATAAAATATTTTATTTTACTTTTTATTGTGTTTATTTAAACCATTAGAATCGATTAAATGATAAGAAATTTTGAGTAGTATGTATGAGATCTTAAATTTTATCGTTGTTGTTATTATTGTAATTGTTATAAGTAAATAAAAATTTGTCTAATTATTTTAAAAGTAAACATTCTTTTAAATTTAATTGAGATAAATTATTTTAAAGAATAAAAAATTAACCCAAGTTCATTTTAATCAAACATTTTTTTTGTTTGAAATTTACACTAGGAAACTATAAATTAAAAACTTGCAATCATCTCAATAGGTCTTACAATTTATTTATTTTTTGCTTTTAGATGAAAGTACATTTATTAAAAATAGCCTAATCGTTTAGTAATCCACTGTCAATTAGTACTAAGTTCTAAAAGTCTAAATGTTTGAATTAATGTACCAACACTACACCAAAACTAGTTTTTTGTGACAATTAACTTATTATTTAGCGGCCATATAAATGGTCATAATTTTTTTACCAGCATTTAATTAATGGCTGGTGTATCCAGTGTCGCTAATACTATTACCGGCATTTATATAAAATGCCGGTAAAGATCTACTAAATTGTCGGAAAAACTTATTTTTTTTAGTGGCAATTCTAGTAGCCATTTTAAAGGCTATTAAAAGTTATTTTTTTCAATTGTCTCCTTTACTTTAAATAATTTATATATTCCTATAATTTCATTTTCTAAATTCATAACTTATATACTTTTTTATCTCTACTCGATATGAGATTTGTAAGATGAGAGTTGTCTTTTATTTATATATATTTTAATTTATTTTTTAATTATGTTGTCTTTTAAGCGATGTGAGATTTATAAGGTCAAAGTTAGTCTCTAATTGTTTTATAGCACTATTGAAGTTGGTAACAATGAGTGATTTGATACCAATTTAGAATAGTGAATTAGTAGTCAACCCTATAAAATGAACCTGTAAGGTGATAGTTATTACTCATTTATATACTATTTAATTATCTTATCTCTAATCAATGTGGAACTTAAGTTTTTTCTAAATAATTGTCGCTAATAGTAAACTTTAGTGTAATATAAATATATTTTTAGTGGCTATTATATATTAGCCATTAATATTTTTACATATGGTGGCAATTAAATTATTGCCATTAAATAATTGTCATTAAAAATAAATTTTGTTGTAGTGCAAACTCCTTCGTCTGATTCTCAATATGAAAATTTTCTGACAATTTATTACATTGATTGCATTTGTCAAGATGATATGAACGGGAACTCACGTAAAATGTAATGCTAGAAAGATGAATTTTGGAAGGAATTGAACTCAATTCTGAGAATGAAAATCCACATATTTGAGGGATACACATCTCTTTACACTAAAAGAAAGTATAATATATTAACACTTTAGCATTGGATTACTTTCTTCATCCAACTAAAATTAATTTGTTTTTATAAATATTGCGCATATATATATATATATACCCTATGATTCAAATTCACAAATATAAAAAATAATATATACTACATTTATCTCTCTGCATTTTTTTTACTTTTTAGAATTAAATTTGTTGTACGTGAGGTTGGTGAATTTTATTTTATTTTTTGTTCACTAATGTAACCGATGTGTGAGGTTGAAATAGAATAGCAAATGCAAAGATGATTTGTATTGTAGGGGAGACAAAAATGAAAAATCTCCTTTATTATTAAAATTATTAGTACTACTGCTGCTATTACTTAAATAAAAGAGACATCTCTCTACATATCTTCTATATGCAATTAGTGAGGACGTACGTATAGTTATTTTTATTTTAAAAAATGAATAATAAAAGGTAGAAAATAAAGGTTAAATAGTGAATGGGAATGTACATCTAGTAGTTTTAAAATTGGTTTATATGTAGTTTGTGGATATGGATTTTTATATGTAGTTAAAACGTAGTATAGATTATAATGTTAGTTATGAAGCAAAATAGTGGAAAAAAAATAGGAATAATTGATACATCTATATTATTATTTAAGGGTATAATAGAAAAAGAAATTAAAATCAGTTACGAAAACTCGAAAAGTAACATTCATTACATAATAATAATTATAACAATAACAATAATACTATTAAAACATGTTTTAAATGTATTGAGTTTTGCTGATCAGTGTCTTTACAGTAATGATTAGTGAATTTATATGTAAAATGTTTTTATTGAAAACTACAGTAAAGTTACAAGTAACAACATGCATCTATACAGTTTTTCATAAAAGCTTTTTTAATTTTGATTATTTAATAAGAGACCTAATAAACATTTGATAGCATTTTTCTAATGTTTTTAAGGTTTGAAAAAAATTTATTTAATAAATAATATTTTTGTAAAGTTGAATTAATGTTGAATGTCTCACGTTCACGTGATATATGATGAAAATAGTATATGTTATAAATAAGGGACAATTGTTATAATATAAGTCTATTTTATAAATTAGATTCATAATCTAATTTTTTGAGATCTAGATTTATGACAATCGAAGTTTAAATTCGCTTTCTAATATTGAAAACAACTTTGCAACAAGGATGCTATGTGTTTGAGAAATACTGAATTAATTATTAAATTTTGATGCGGTAATTTCTCTATCAACGGTTAAAATTTAATGAGTTATTTTTAAATTTGATGTTTATCTTCCTTTTAATACACACTAACTTATTATATATAGTTTGTGTACAAATAAAAATAAAAATAAACTCACTATATAGAAGAGATTGTACATACAAAATTTAAGCATAATTTTATTATGTGTTGAAATTTGGGATAAGTGGATACAATTTTCGAGTGAAGGAAAAACCTACGAGAATGAAGTGCTAATGAAAGAAAGTATGAATAATAGTTTTAAATTAGAAAGTTATGCAGATGACATGACAAATAAAATAATAAACCCTAGACATATGGTATTACATATACATATTTTGCATTATCTAAACCAAAGCGGCATTGACATGTAGCTCGCATCAAACACGAGTACTCTTGATCATGTGATAGTGATACTGTATCAGATCTCACACTCTCACTGATCTGTTTCTGTGCATGGGTCAACATGGTTTGCCAAGTGTAACTCCTCCCAACGATACACATGTCCTACTACTTTCTTCTTTTCTTTCTTAATTTCTTATTATAATCTTTAATCAAAGGCACGTCATGCTGCTAGCTGAAAGAGAATCAAATAGCTTCAAATTTAAATTATTATTCTATATGGCTATAGCTACTTTCACTAAATATTAGTGCCAATCAAGTTTATTTTTGAGGCAGGTACATGGCCCTTTATAAATCTTAAGAATCAAAAGAGAATCACTCCATCAACCTCATGGCTTCCTCTCTATCATCTTTCTGCACCTTAAACCAAGCTTTTTGCAGGCACAATAAGCTCCTCCAATACCCCAAAATAAGATCCCAAAGATCCCAAAGTTTTAGTGACAATGGTAATAGATATATCATATATATTAAGAACAATATACCTGTGCACTAGAAGATGACAAAATTTAATTTCTTGCACAAAATAATCCATTAATTAACTTGTTTGTATATCCATCTCTTTCTATTATTTTTATGATTTCAGTCTTTTCATTGTCCCGTAAAACATGAATAATGTTACAGCTATTATACTAATGAAGTTTTTGATTAATAATGGATTGTTTTGGCAGGGAAGCCAGCAGCAAATATTGTTGATGCAAATCTGAGCATCCTAAGGGAAAGAATTCATCAAGTGAGGAGGAGAGAGAGGGTAAGCACACAAGGATGGAATTATAAGCATAGTTATGACCGTAAGTACAAGAGAGATTCTGTGATATCAGAATCTGCTGAGATTATAGGTTTGGCGTGTGGTGCAGTTGGGCTTGTCTTTCTCATTGGTTCTCTTAGCATATGCCTTCTGTCCTTCCTTGTTTATGTGTGCATATGAATATGATATCTCTAATTAAGAACCATATCATCTCGACAATAGCTGCTAGCTTCTAGATTATTTGGATTTAAGGGTAAAATGTATTGATAATCTAGAATAAATACGATATCTGGTTTGAAGAAGGGCTTCTTCTTATGGCCAAGCCCATATTCTAACAATTTTTACCTTTTATTTATCTATCTGTTAAGTGTTGTTTGTATAAATATAAAGTATTTTTACGAAAAAAAAATAGATCAAACTTTTCATAAGTTAAATTTAATTTATATATAAATTAATTTATAAAAATTATTTAATATTAACTTATCATAAAATTTAATTTTAGATTTTGTGGAAGTTAATTTTAATTAAAGAGAAGTTTCATTTTTCTATTAAAATTACTTCTAGATAAATTTATACTAAAAATATCTTAAGTTCAAAAATCACCTCCTATATATATGGAGGATATCAAATGAGTTAAAAGTCAAATTAAGTTAAACACTTCAAATTTAAATTTGGCCTTAAAAAAATTAAGTTCCTTTAAAAAAAAACTCAAAACTTAGATTTAACTTATTAAAAATATGAATTAGTTACAATCTACAACTTGATTATTGCTTTTCTGTCTTTTACATTTATGTTTAATTATTAATTTAATATTTAATTAAAAATTATTGTATTTGAAATATTGTTTGTTTTAGTACATAATAGTCTATCATGATTTTGTTTTTAAAATGTGTCTCAATGATTAAAGGAGGAATATATTAATAAATTAATATTGTTCTTTAACTTTTAAGTTATGTAAGTTTTTTTAGTACTGTATTGAAACAAGTAGACTAAATCCTCTTTTTAATGTCAATGTTTTGATTTCAACCTTATTAATAATATTATTTGAATTCAAAGTATTGTCTGTTTAAAAAATTAAAGAGAGGATATCTATAAATTATGATCTATCATAGTTTTATCTTGAAAAAATTATTCTAAAAGATTAAGGAGAAAATATCTATAAATTATTATGACTTTGATTCTAAAGAGATGTAATATTTTTTTATATTAAAAAAATAATAAAAATAAACATTTTGGGTTGACGGTAGAAAATAAAGAATTACGTGAATTTTACCGAAAAAAATAAAACATGTAGATTGATTTGCAAATTGGCCACAGATTATTGTATAGACAATAGCCTATATATACTAAATACAAATATGTTTAAATGCGAGAAAAAAAAAAGGCATATTTTTACAAGTGTTCTAAAAAAAACCACAAGTAATAAGTTATCCACGAAGAGTGGCGAATTTAATTTGCTTTAATTTTCTTTTTGAAAAATATTTAACCAGCTTAATGTTCTCGGTAAGAATATATAGAAGTTAATTAACTCACTTTTTTTTTTCTTAAGTAAGCAACAGTTTAATTATTTGAGTAAATGATAATTTTATTTTTAAAAAATTTACCTGCCTTCTGAATTATGATCTCACCCTTCACTAACAATACAATAAGTTTGGCAAGCAATGTTTAATTGTAGTATTGTACAAGTAACTTAAGGAATGTCACTAAACATGCTCTATGGAGATCATCAAACTATTTTATATTTCTAAATTAGTCGCCGGCCACGTTGGCGATTACGGTCTAATTAAGGCAAAAGATGAACACTGATGGATGTTACACTGAAATGAAGAAATTATGCTTTGCAAATTGTTGATAACTCTTAAGTCAAAAATGACATGTACCTACCTTCGCTGAGAACCAATCCTATCAAGCCATATACATAGCACATGTCTAATCTCATAGATC